CACACACACACACACACACACACACACACACACTCACATACACCATTGGAGGAAATTATCAGAAAGAGATAAAATATGGTATTAACTAAAGTATTATGAGACTTCTGATGGATACAACTCACCTAATCTTTAACAGTGAGTTCTAAAAAACACAAATTGACGTAATTATTGAATTTCTGGATGGACCTTTCCAAAGAGTCAAAGGAAAAAGCAGAGGAACCTGCTCACACAGGAAAGAGGTATCAGCATCAGAATGAGAAGCAGGGCAGGCGGGGACAGCACCTGCCCGGCAAGCGTGGGGTCGTGAGTTCGATTCCTGGTACCCCAAAACAAAACAAAACAGAGTGAGAAACGGGGGTGCAGCTCAGCGGTGAGTACTTGCCAACTGACTGTGCTTGGGTCCCATCCCCAGCGCTGGAAAAAAAAAATCTAGCAACATAAACGTGTGTTAGCAATGCTTCGGGCTGCTGGTAACAGCAGACTAACTGGTAAGCCAGCATGGCTGGCTTGTGCCTGGAGATCCAGCATACAGGAGGCTGGGGCAGGAAGATCTCGAGTATCTCAAGTTCAAGGCCTGCCTGAGCTATACTGCAAGATCCTGTCTCAAAAACAAAACATAAAAAAAGGCTGGAGATATAGCTCAGTGGTAACACCTCCGTGTGGCATGCATGAGGCCCTGGGTCTGAGCTTCAGTGCTTCAAAAAAGAAAAAGCAGGATGGAACCAGCCATGGATTGGTGCACATATTTCAATATTAGTCCATACTGTTTTCAAAAATAAATAAATAAATAAAATAGTGTTTTCAGTGTCTTTACTCAGTGTAATTACTCATCTAAAATACTTTCATACACATACGTAGTGTTTTCCAGTGATGGCAAACCTTTCAGAGCTTTCAGTGACAACAAGCATCCTGGTGTGGCATGCACGCTGTAGGTTCACCAGCACTGCTCCATACCCACATGCGATTTTTTTTTTTGAGACAGTCTCACTCTGTAATCCAGGTTGGCCTTGAACTGGTGTCCATTCTCCTGCCTCAGCCTCCTGAGTGCTGGGATTATAGGTGTGCACAACCACACCCGGCTGGATGTACAGTTTTGATCAAAATATAATTAAATTAAAAATCAGATGACGAACATCTCATGCTCTCTCTCAGGCAGCGTCTTTGCCTCTCTGGCCTCTTCTCACTTTGCACTCTCCCTGCTGCCATTCACACATTCACAGGGCTCTCAGCTCCCTCACCCCAGATCCGGCCATCTGTCCAGGCTTTGATAGCAACAGGCTGCTCCCCTGAGCATGCCCGCCACACCGGTCAGATCACGTCTCCTCATGCGGTCTCTGCTCTTTGACCATCTCTCACCCGAGACCTGACTCGCCTGTGGGAAGAGTCCCATCCCATTCTGCTCCGGCCCACAGGTGGGGAACCGGTGGACAGAGACATTGGCCAAGCACCCTCGGCAGCTGAGTCACAAGCAAACACGGGAAGTGTGCGTGGACCAGCTGCCACCCTGTGGGCTGGCTTCCGGAAGCTTCCAGAGTTCCGTGTGGGATGGGCAGGTACAACACTCAAGGATGCTCCGAGCTGCCAAGGCCGCTCGGTGTCCCTGGCGCAACAAGAAGTCTGGAGACGAGGAGGAGGGTGCTGGGCCTCAGGCCTGCAAGCCCACAGCAGCTCAGAGCTCAGCGAGGATCTTCGCCTCGCCCGCCCCTCGAGACGAAGCCTCCTGTCCTCTCATGAGCAGGGTTAAAGGCATGAAGAGGGTGGATGGGGGCAATAATCTGTCCCACAAGGCTCTGTCCAACCTCTTCTCGTGTGTCCTGGGCCAGAACAGGCCGTAGCACCACGTAGCTCAGTGGCTGGACCCATGTTCCGTGAGATCACGGGCCACTCACGGAAGAGCTGAACAAAGCTAATTATGTTGGCCAGGAAGGGAACGGGGACTGGCATTGGGTTACAAAAGCCAGCAGAGCTTCCACAGCGTGATCTGCTGTGTGGAGCCAACGATAAACTCCACCTGCATTGCGGGTGATGGAAGGAGCGAGGCTATGAGTCACATCCAGACCTTCCAAAGCCTCCGCCACGACCCTCCTGTCCTTCAGCATGAAGCTCTTCCTGCAGCTTGGGAGACTCGCCAGGAAAGACCTCGCAGAAGAAAAGTATTTCAGGAGAGACTCTGAAGGAAAAAACAGAAATCCAGCCACGCAGGAGGTGGTGTTGGGTCTACGTTAAGGTGGTTATTTTCACTCTTGCATGCAAATGTTTCTCCTGCAGCCCCTTGGTCATCAGCTTCTCTGCCCATTTGGGGGATTCTTGTTATTGCCCTGATGGTCTAAGGAGCTATAAATAAACTGAACAAAGATGACATTTACCCAAGAGGAAATGCCAAAATGGGAACCTGGAGGCCATGGCCGTGGCTCCATAGAACAGAATGTTCCCTCGGAGATTTTTAATGAGGCATGCTTATTGTTTTTCTTTTTTCTTTTTTTTTTTTTTT